TAGTGGGTGGTGGTGCACGTGCGTGCGTGCGTGCGTGTGTGCGTGGTTGTCGTGGTGGTGGTGGTGGTGGTGGTGGTAGTGGTGGTGGTGGTGGTGGTGGTGATGGTGGTGGTGGTGGTGGTGGTGGTGGTGCTGGTGGTGGTGTTGGTACTGGTGCTGGTGCTGGTGTGGTTGTGGTGGTGGTGGTGGTGGTGGTGGTGGTGTGGTGGTGGTGGTGGTGCGGGCGCGGTGGTGGCGGGCGGATGGGCGCGCGAGAAAAAGGCCCGCGCTGGGGCGAGAACGCCATCCTGAACGACGGAGGCCAAACACCGATCCGAAAATGAGGCCCACGCTGCAGCGGGAGCACGATTCGGAACGATTCGGAAGCAGAAATGATGCCGGCGCCTCAACGAGAGCAGCACTTTGGGAAAAAATGACGCCGGCGCCTCAGCGAGAGTCGTTTCCAGGGATTTCCCGGACATCCTGTGTGTAAAAAACAGTACGCGGAGGGCGCGCGGCCATCACCCGGACGCCATCAGGGGAAGAGGGAAAGTATTTTCATATTGAGTAATTGTAGAGAGGACGACAAGGAAGGACAGACCGGGCCGACAGACGGACGGACGGGGGGGCGGGGAGGGGAAGCCGAGCAGGCAGGGAGAGGGATAGCACACCGCGCACAAGGGCAAGGAAGGACAAGGGGAAGGAAGGGACACGGGGAGGGAGAGGGGGAAGGAAGAGGGGGGGAAACCGGGAGCCGAAGAGGACAGGAGAGGGGAGGAGAGGAGGGGAGAAGGAGGAGCCGCGGGCCGGGGCCAAGGCAAGGAAAAAGGCGGGCCGAGAAGCACACCAGAGGCCACACAACACCCCTACAACATTACTCCGACGGAAGGACCCCACATGATAATCTGTTTAGTTTTCCCTTATCCCTTTCCTCCCGGCCATGGCAAACACCCTCGTATCGCCCTCTCCTCTGCCATCTTTTCCTCTTCTTCTATTTCCCCCCCCCTCCTCTCCTCCTCCTCCTCCTCCTCCTTCTCCACCTCCTCCTCATCATCGCCCTCCCCATACCCCTTCCGTCCTCATCCTCCTCCTGCCTCTTTTCCACGTGCACGTCCCTTTCCCCCCGGTCGGGGGAAGCAAGTCGATTTTCCTCGGCGCCGTCGCCGCCTCGGTCAGAACGCGCGCGTTTGCCGACGGCCAGATCGCGAAGCCGTCGGGTCAACCCTTCGGGCCAGCCATGCCTGCGGGGCACTCCCGCGGGCCGCCGGAGCGCGAGGGCAGGCCGTCGGGACAACCCCGCGGGCCAGGCCGTTGGGACAACCCCGCGGGCCTCCTCGCGCGCGCCGCGGCGCTCAGGCGGGCGGCAGCACGAAGCCCAGCTCTGCCGCGAGCTGCTCCGCTTCAGCCCTGGAGTCCACCGCTCTCTCGTCGAACTCCTGGAGCGCCTTCCGCAGTGACGCCGGCGGCCCGCGCTCCAGGAACTCTCGCGCGGGCGGCCGCAGGATCAGCATGTTCCGCATGCACGTGGCGCGGGAGAACATGACGTAGAGGTGCAGCCACCACATATCGTCCGACATGCCCGTGCGGCCAGCGTCCTCATCCCTGGCGCAGTCGATGGTGACGCCCTTGCGCAGCGTCTGGCCCTGCGACAGCGTGGAGGTCAGGTAGGACGCGTGCGTCAGCGTGAATCCCGAGCGGCGCGCAGTGTGCGCCCCCGAGCTCTGCCACGTGAACTCCTGCTCGCTGGGCCTGAACATGAGCAAGCTCCTCGCCCGCGCCTGGGCCTCGCCGTCGTCGTCAGCGCCCTCGGTGCCCTGCAGCAGCACCTCGGCGACCTCCTTGTAGATCGGGGACTCCTGGAAGCCGTGCACATGCAGCCAGATTCCCTGCGGTAGGAAGCGGGGGCGGAAGAGCTGGCCCGGCGCGCACTCCTCGTAGTCCCGCTCGTCGTCTGCGTGAAACTCGAAGGACACGATGGTGGCCCGTTGCTCCTGCACGAGCCCCAACTTCTTCTTCAGCTCCTCCTGCGCGGCCGTGAACCGGACCTCCATGCCGACGTGTGCCGGTAAGACGCCGTGGATGTCCCCCGTCTTGTGCATGTTCGGGACGTTCAGGAGGCGCCGGCCTGCGTCTGGTTCGCCTTGAATCGTGCCGCACTCGTCTACGGCCTGCAGGAAAACGAGGGGGACGCCGAGGCGCCGCGCGTCGCGACGAGCGCGCGTGTTGATCCACCTCGCCAGCGTCTCCCAGTAGATGCCCATGCCGTAGCCGAGCCGAAAGTTCTCGTGCTGGTGCCGAGGGTCCAGGACGCCGTGGTTGTCAGAGGCCAACGTCTTCTCCCAGGCAGACCAGACCTCTGGTGGGAAGCGCTTGCCCTCGCGCATGCAGCCCAAGAACGCGATCAGAGGGCCCCCCGGCTCGAAGCGCTTCGTGCCCTTCAGCTCGAAGACGCAGGGGATCTGAGAGAATACCCTGATGGCGTGCTGGATCTCCACCGTCGGCGGCTCCGCGTACTTGTACGACCCGTCGTCCAGGAGCTCGTTCACGTCCGTCAGGAGCCCGATGCTGCCGGTGGGCTTCAGCTGCAGGAAATCCCCGAGGTGCAACACGATGGGGACGCGGCCGAAGTGGTGGTGCGGCCTCTTGTAGGTGGACTCCTGCACGTCGTGCGTGTCACTGCGCCCGTGGCAGGCGCGGAGGTCCAGAGCGTTGTACAGAGCAGCTGCCACCATGCTCACCTCCTCGATGACCAGGACGCGGACGTGCTCCCACAACCACTGCAATCTCTTCTGCATGCTCCCCGGTCTCATCTTCGCGTTGATGTACTTCTGGACTCGCAGGGCACAGGCGTTGTGCAGCGTTCTGGCCTTCACCGTCTCCGTGGAGATGTTCTTCGCCTGCGCGTTCGCGTTCTTCCCTCTCCAGTTGGAACGCGCGGGGAAGTGAACCTTTGCAAGTTCCCTTTCCCGCTGCTGGAGAGCGAACCTTTGCAAGTTCCCTCTCCAAGGGAAAGTGAACCTTTTCAAGTTCCCTTTCCCGCGAATGAAGGGTGAACCTTTTCAAGTTCCCCCTTCGCTCCGACGACAAGGGGGGACAGGGAACCTTTGCAAGTTCCCTCTCCCGCAGCTAGAGACGTCGAACCTTTTCAAGTTCCCTCTCCAGCCCAATCCTGCCACGAACGGGAAAGTGAACCTTTTCAAGTTCCCTCTCCCGCAGCTAGAGAGTGAACCTTTTCAAGTTCCCTCCCCAGCCCAAACGAACGCGGGAGAGTGAACCTTTTCAAGTTCCCTCTCCCGCCGACGACGACAAGGTTGGCCAGCAATTGGACGTGGGCAAGTCGAAAGAGAATATTCAGGCCGCAGGAGCGAGTTCCCCTTCGATCCTCCAAGTGACGACAAGAGACGGTCCTCAGACGGGACTACCCGCACCGCCCACAGACAAAGTTCCCGCTTGATACTTCCCCCTTGTTCAGGCCGCAGGAACTGAGGAGCCCAAAAAGCTCGCTCGGATGACCCGCTCGGGTTCGAACATGAAGTGCGTGCCCCACAGGGATGGAGCGCCCGCCTGATACTTCCCCCATATTCAGGCCTCAGGAGCCCAAAAGCGACGACAGTTACAGGTTTCTGATGACCCGCTCGGATTAGTAAGATGATCTGCGGGCCCCATAGGGAGGGGGCTTCCGCCTGAGACTTCCTCGCAAGTCACTCACAGACGAGGCTCCCGCCTGATCCTTCTCCCATATTCAGGCCTCAAGAGCCCAAAAGTGACGACAGTTACAAGATTCCGATGGCCCGCCTCGGATTAGTAACATGATCTGGGGGCCCCATAGGGAGGAGACCCCCGCCTGAGACTTCCTCGCAATTCACTCACAGACGAGGCTCCCGCCTGATACTTCCTCCAAATTCACGCCCCAGGAGCCCAAAAGTGACGACAGTTACAGGATCCCGATGACCCGCCTCGGATTGGTAAGATGATCTGCGGGCCCCATAGAGAGAGGCTCCCGCCTGAGACTTCCTCGCAATTCACTCACAGACAACGCTCCCGCCTGATACTTCCTCCAAATTCACTCCCCAGGAGCCTACAAGTGACGACAGTTACAGGATCCCAATGACCCGCCTCGGATTAGTCTGATGATCTGCGGGCCCCATAGGGAGAGGCTCCCGCCTGAGACTTCCTCGCAATTCACTCACAGACGACGCTCCCGCCTGATACTTCCTCCAAATTCACGCCCCGGGAGCCCAAAAGTCACGACAGTTACAGGATCCCGATGACCCGCCTCGGATTAGTAAGATGATCTGCGGGCCGCATAAGGAAAAGCTCCCGCCTGAGACTTCCTCGCAATTCACTCACAGACGAGGCTCCCGCTAGATACTTCCTCCAGATTCACGCCCCAGGAGCCCAAAAGTGACGACAGTTACAGGATCCCGATGACCCGCCTCGGATTAGTAAGATGATCTGCGGGCCCCATAGGGAGAGGCTCCCGCCTGAGACTTCCTCGCAATTCACTCACAGACGACGCTCCCGCCTGATACTTCCTCCAAATTCACGCCCCAGGAGCCCAAAAGTGACGACAGTTACAGGATCCCGATGACCCGCCTCGGATTAGTAAGATGATCTGCGGGCCCCATAGGGAGAGGCCCCCGCCTGAGACTTCCTCGGAATTCACTCACAGACGACGCTCCCGCTTGACACTCGAGTGAGTGACGGACTGACTGAGTGATGTGTGGCGCCAACGGATGATATCCTCATGTGATGATCATGATGAGTGAGTGAGTGAGTGAGTGAGTGAGCGATCGAGTGGTGCATGGGTAAATCTGATGGTGCTGAGGAGGAGAGGCGTGGGTCATGATGATGATGACTGATGATGATGATGGCGAGAAAGAGGAAGAGAGAGAGAGAGAGAGAGAGAGAGAGAGAGAGAGAGAGAGAGAGGGTGTGAGATCCTGCGCGGGGGGTGTGCAGAGAAAACAAGAACCCCACTTTGGATGTGGGGAACTAGACATACAAAAGTTCAAGTGCGACTATGAATGGAGCAGGACCCTGGCCGCATCAGCAGCCCCAGGGGCGACGGTCGCCGTGCCCGGGGCCCGCTTTAGCACCGCCTGGGCGTTGGCCCGCCGAACGGCGACGCTCGAACCTTCCAAGTACTCCTGCATGTGCAGGCTCGCCGCCTTGCCATCTCTGGCCCGCCCGAGCTTTGCGTGCGAGCTGCTGCAGAACTTGGATGCCCGAGGCCCCCCAGCCTCCGGATCGTTCGGCGACCATTGGCACGAAGGCGATCCCCTGCTGGGAGCACTGCGCCTCCGTGTTGAAGTAGGTCCGCTTGTAGTCCTCGTAGAGCTGCGTTGCCGACCCGGCAACCTCGCTCGCCTGCTGGAGGGCAGCCTGCCGCTGCGGCGACGTGATGGCCAGGTCTACGGCGGCTGGTGACCCGCCGCGCCAAGAACGCAAGAACACGTCTGCCGGGCGACGCAAGCCCGGGTCGGCCGCATGGTCCGGCCGCGGCGGGAGGAGGTGGCCTTTTTCCAGGTCCGGCCGGCATCCCGCGGAAGCGGCGTAGAAGTACGTCGGTTCCCGGCCGCGTGGTGCGCCGCGCTCTTGTCCCCGCCGCAAGTGCAGACCGAGCAGTGGAAACCGTGCACGTCTAGCACGCTGTCGCACAGGGAGCAGTAATCCTCCTCCTGAAAGACCTCCGCGGCCAGACGGAACTGTACCTCGGTGCGGAATCCGGCTGGCTCCATGCTGAGCTTCATGGCCTTGCTGGACATGGCCGTCAGGAAGCCCGAGGCGCCGGGCAAAGTCTCCGACAGCACTGCGGCCCGGACGGCGGGGCTGGCCCGCGCCAAGCGGTCGCGCAAGCTCGCCTCGTCTAGCGCGTCGGACAGCTCCCTTTGCGAAACCGGAGAGGTGCCCACCAACTGGCGCGCCGCCTGCTCCGGCAGCTCTGCCTGCAACGTAGCGGCCGCGCGCTGGAGGCCGGAGCCGGCATTCCGACGCAATTCCGGCTTTTTAGATGGCTGTCCTCCAACGGGGCATTTCCCTCAGTCAAAATGCATCCGTGCATGAACCTATGAAGAGGGAACTTGGAGGGTTGATTGCAATATCGTTGATGGGTCTTGGGTTTACACTGGTCTGCCTCCCCCTCCTCCTCATCATCGTTAGTATCGTCTGTCCTCCTCCTCCTCCTCCTCCTCCTCCTCCTCTTCCACCACCTCCTCCCCATTCCCTCCACGTTGCCATCCTCCTCCTCATCGTTTTCTTACGCGGAGAAGGCGGAAGATGGAGCGCGACCGCACAACGTCACACTGCTCGGCCTCAACCGCTGTGCGAATCAAAACGTCGTCAAGCAAAGCAAGATCCAGACGAGAACCGACCTGCGATAGGTCAGCTCATGCACTGAACCTTGGCCCGAATAGGGGAAATTAACGTGCTGCCGCATTCCTCTTCCACCATCCTACTGTTACGCGACCTTCCTCCTCCCCTCCTCACCCCCTGTGCGCGCCGCCGAGCTTGAACCACGAGTCCCTGCCCGCCAGCACCTGGCGGGCGGGGCCATCGACGCTCCATGGGCACAGCGCGCGGAGCACACGCTGGTCAGGGTCGTCATCGTCGTCGTCGTCGTCGTCGTCGTCCTCCCCACCGCCGTCGCCGCTGTCGTCTGCGGGGGGGTGGGGAAGTGGCGAGCGGGGGAGGGAGGAGGCCACTTCTTGCTCATTTCCTTGCTCCTCCTCCTCCTCCTCCTCCTCCTCCTCCTCCTCCTCCTCCTCCTCCTCCTCCTCCTCCTCCTCTCTGCAGATTTGCGCCGCGTTCCCTCCTCATCCTCCTCCCCTTCCTCCTCCTCCTCCTCCTCCTCCTCGTGTTCCTCCCCCTCCTCGCCCTCCTCAGCCCCGCGTTGCTTCATTACTTCTCCTGATAGATAACTTCTACGTGTCGCACCCCGAAGCCAGGTTTTAGGGCGTTCCGCCTGAGACTTCCTCACCAGTTATGACCCTGAAACTTAAACCGTGGCAACAGTTTAACATATGGAGGGCGAGTCGTTTCCAACATGTGGCTCTCGCCTAAGCGCCGCGCACATTCGTTTTCAACGTGTGCAAGAGCTTCACGGATTGAGGGCGGGTCGTTTTCAGAATGTGGTTCTCGCCTTAGCGCCGCGCGCATTCTTTTTGAAAATTGCAGGAATTTCACGGGTTGAATCACGGATTCCCATAATCAACGTACCAGAAATGGTGTTTTGGACGGGTTCCAGATTAGGCAGGTACAACAATTACGTGGACTCCCGGTGTTGAGGTCCCAAAAATAACGCTCTGGCGCGATTCCGGATCGTCAAGGCGCAGCAATCAGGTAGATACCTGGCGTCGACATCCCGAACAATGTGTTGGCATGCTTCCGGATGTTCGAGAGAACGCTTTTCACGGGCGCTTGCCTGGGGAACATTCGGCGGCGCGTTTCGAACCAGGGGGTGCCCCCCCCCAACACTCGGCGCCGTCGACCAAAACAAGGGGGACTCCCCTCCCCCCCAAACGCCCCCCCCTCCCGAGTTAGTTTCTGGTCGGCTTGAGCCACGATGTTGCGGAGCTCTCTCTCAGTCACTCTGAACATATTTTCCCAATCTGGCTTATCATCATCTGTGCACTCTCTACTACTTCCAAGGGTCGAGATCCTTACTCTGATCCGGATTCTTGAGGAGAAGAGGTGATAAAAGGCATGCGCTAAGCGATGCCTCAGATAACTCGATCAAGTCGATATCCTGGTAGTTATTCTTAACGCTGCTGGTCCTGATCACGATGGGTGTATCATTCTGCTTCTTGGTTGTAGAGGACGTCGTAGTAGTTCTCGTGAGGTCGCTAATCCCCGTGTTAAGATACTGAATCCATCAATCATCATCAGAGATGTCGGTAGGCGGAAAGCTCTCACCATTATGCCACTGATCCTGTCCTCGCGAAGTGAGAGGATGCATAATCTTTGTGTTTTGTCTGCTGGAATACCTTGGTGTCCCACAATCAGTTGGTACAAATCATGGCAGTCTGGTCCCATCTCCACGGGTAACACTGTCAATCCTTGCTCTTGAAAATTCATGAGGCCTGATGTCGTAGTGGAGCTTCGTTGGACCCGAGGCTTCAAGAATATCTCCGTGAATCGTAATGCTACGTATTGTGTGTTCTGCAATCCTCCAAATGCTGCCACTGCTTCAGCGCGCGACGTTAGTAACTGATTGTCTTGCCTGTCTTCGATGTCCCGGTGAGTGGGTGGGCCTTGGATATGAACTGAATGCAGTCATCTGGGTCGAGTAAGCCGTCCTTGCTGATCTTGAATGGTCTGCCCTCGCATAGAAAAAAATCCCTGGGCCTCGTGAGCGTAGCTGGTGACTTTCGATCCGCGACGTGCGCCAGCTATCGACGATGACTTGAAGGGTCCACGCAGTCGATGAAAATCAAGACCCATCCCTCGTCGATCTCTTCGCTCGATCCAGTGTCAGTATCAAGGCCCTCATATCTGCGATCGTTGGCTAGGTCTGTTTTGTCTGGAGTTGAGTTGTGGCCGCGCTGATGTCCCATCTGGTTTGCAGTAGATGTAAGAGTTGGCAGCGTAGTGAGCGGCAATCATGAATCTCATCCTCTGTGCAAAACTCACTGTATTGTGAAAGACGCTGCTTCGACAACCCGGGAGCCTTGATGGCGTCCAGGTATGCGTCCTGGTTGATGAAAATGCAATCGTTGGGCATTCTGCTGCAAATGCATCCCAAGTGAGTGAACGGAAGCTTCTTGCTCGTAATCATGCCGGACTTCTTCTCCATGAGCACGCGTCCCCGGTCTGGCCATTCTTGCAGCCCGACAGGTAGTGAGTCGTCGACGTGGAGCGCGGTTGCCATCGCGAGATCGTCGCCTGAATGCCAACTGGAACAATTCTGGTCCGGCAATGCCTTAGCTCCACGCATGCCGTCGCACGCGTGCAGGGTCAACGACGCCTGCCAGAGTCAAGGCGCGTCCACCAGACCAGGCACAGGCTTGATGCACTCTAGGACGTACAGGTGCGTCTCTGAATCGGGAATGTCAAATAACTTCGAGAAATCCCGCAGGTGCCGCCATACGATGGCTGGTGGCATGATGTGCACGTGTCTCTGCCCACGGATGCCCAGGCCGAGCATTTGGGGGTTGCGCGTCATCTCATCGAACTTGAGCCCTTGAAGGCATGCAGATGATATGCCCCAGGGTTCCACTTGAAAATCGGCGTGCGCGTGGGCCAATGGTGTCATCATGCGCTGACTGACTCTGGCTGCCGTGGAGCTGTCGACCCAATGCATACTTCTGATTGTCTCTGAAGCCCCGGCCGCAGAAACGAGAACGTAGTACCCACTTCTCCTTGCGCATCCCTCTGCGCACCCAAACCGAATCGATGAAATTGTCCGGCGCGCAGTCCGATTCCAGCCGAGGTCGAAAGCAGTCATTCTGAACAGATGAGGAGATCTCTGCGCGATCTGCAGGCTCGGTGAGATTCCATAATATTGCAAAGTCTTCTTCGGCAATCAGTTGCTCTGCTCGCGATGCGTAGATTGGCATGCAGGTCTTTTCAAGCATAGCATCGTAGAACAACTTGGAATCGCCCAGACACTCCACGATAAACATGCTGCCCGATCTTTTCCAAGGTCGAGCGGAGCGCGATGTGGAGGTCGAGTGGCCCATGTAGTCCGCGAAGTCATCATCCATGTGACTTGCGTCTTCATATAGCTGCTGAAGATCTGTTCGCTGCGATGCACATGAGGAGCCAACGTTCATCATGGGAAACTGCGTGTAGTAGCCCTCGATGGGTGTCGTGTCTGATGGCGCTGCTGTCTCAGTCAGTTGACCATAATACTGATCATCAGCAAATACCAGTTGTAGTTCTTCTTCTGCTTGAACCACTGACTCCGTGAATTGATGCTGATCGTCGTCGGGATGATGTAGGGCTACTGGCTCTTCATCTGTCTCGTAGTGCTTGGTCATTTTCTGCGTCGGTTCCATGCTGCCGGAAGTGTCGAGATTGCGCTTGCCCGCCTGCTGTCGCTCGCGATGTTCTTCCTCCTCAATGAGCCTCTCCATTTCCTTGGCAAAGTCGAGAGATCTATCGGCAGGGGCTAGAATCTCCACCTATTTTTCCCCTGCCGCCTGGTCATTCACGTTGGTATGCTGCTGCTGCTGCCGTTCGGCTTCCTCGAGAACCTTGTCCATGTACACGGTGAGGTCGATGTCTGATACTGTGGCTCGTTGCATGCTCTGATCACGATGCTGATGACTGTCTCGAGAGGGCATGCTTTTGATCGTGTTGAATGTCTCGCGAAGGCATGCTCAGATCAAGATGACTGCCCCGCGAGGACATGCTCAGAAGAGGCTGACTGTCCCGTGAGGGCATGCCCAGATCAGGCGAGCTTTGCTCGAAGACCAATGGTGAGGAAAACAATTGCGCAGGCACGGTAGGTGCTGGAAGATATTGCATAGGAGGTCTGGCCACTGAGGATGATGATGCGGAGGCGTCTCGAGATGGACCGCTGCTCGCAAGTGCTGACGATAGCGCTGGTGCTCATGTCATGTCCACCATGATCGGTCTTTCGTCTGGTGCTCGCTGAGGAGGTGACGGGACATCGTGCCTCGTGTCCAGATCGATGAGCGGGGTCTCGATGACCCTCACTCGTCGGTAATATGGTGTCCGTGGTGTCAAGTCTCGACCAGCGTGTTTCAATGCAGGTCGTGGTGTCGATGTCCGTTCTAGCGTCTTCATCAGTCGTCCAAGTTCCGTAGGAAGCTTAATCCTCTGTATTCTCGATGGCCGTGTTTAAAGATGGTGAGGCTGCGGTGGCTGTGGGCGTCGGCGCTGGTGACGTCGCGTAGCCAACAGGTTGACGTAGTGTTGACGTCGCTCCGGATGCCAAGCTATAAGCCAAGCGGACCATATCGTACCGGTCGTTGACTGTGAATCAGTCGGAAGCCTGTGTCGAAGAAGATGGCGTCCACACTAGAGAGGCCGAGTACGAAGTTCGCCAAGTTCAGCATGGATAACCAGAGCTTGGGCGGATCGTCGTGTAGGTCTCGTGGTTCCAAGGTCAGCTTGCCTGTGCCATCTGGAACTTCACCCATGTGATGCAGTACTCCTGGTGTGCAGTTTTCCACAACTTCCAATAGCTGAACCAGAGCGCCTGGTGTCTCAGTGTTGCCCAGGTAGATGTCGTTCGACTGCGCGTGAAAGCCCAGAACTTGACAGCGCAATTGACGTGGTCGAAGATGTCGCGTAGGCAATCAAAATGGCTGTCCTTGATGCACCACGATGGCCGTGCCGAGATCCTTGGATAGGGAGATGAAGCCCGCTGGTCCTCTCCATCCGTCGGCGTCCTTGCGCTCCGGGGCTCTCCAGATGTCGACGTGGTCGTGAGGTTTCAAGTTTTCGAGCCACTTCGTGTCGTGCGTCTGCTGCCTCGCGTTGGTAGCTCGGGCCAGTCGCTCCTCAACCACTGCCTGCGACATGTTTGCCTTCGCTATGAGTCGTAGCCGTAGATGCGCTTCCGTGCAGT